CACACATTTAATAATTTGATTTTTACTTCTTTATCTCAATTCATACACTTCACATTCCAAATATACCCTCACCCTTCTCTATGCACATCTCTCCTTCCATCCTTTCTCACTCCAAGATCCTATATTTTCTTTAGTAAAATTCTTTCTGAAGCAAATCGATAACATTTCAAAAGTTTCCATTGCTATAGGATCAAATATTGGTGTGAAAGAACAAACGTTTATCATTCCTATAATTTCTAGAGTAGTTCATTCAAAAGTTTTTGTTCTCATTTCTGGTTTTTAAGCTCTGGTTTTTGTCATTCAAAAGTTTTTTTCTCTCAATATGCATTGTAAATTTTGATTTTCTTTACCATAACCCCTGTTTCTCTGCTTCTTTGCCTAGAGGGTTTGTGTTTATCTTCCACAGAGAGCTATCTATTGTTTATCAATGGATGATTTTCAGATTTAATTTTTTTTAATTGAATTTTTGGGGTTTGAAGAGTTGTTAAATTCCAGAAATTTGCTTGATGCAGGATCAAAAGTAGTTGGAAAGTGATGAAGAAGAAAGGGAAACAGATTCAAAAAATTCGAAAGACTGAAGAAGTTGCAGAGGATTGGTGTGGTGAGATGGTGGTGGGTGAGATGGTAATTTTGTTAAAGAATAAAATTGAGATTCTTAAAAAATTCATTAAGTATGTGGAGTAACAAAACTTAATATGTGGAAATAGAATTTCCCCAGCACTTAGCTTATGCAAGTGATAAAACATTTGTCACATTTGTCCCTATTTTGTTTGTATACAATTTGACAATAAGATAATTTATTCTTGAAAAATCCCATTACAACCCTTGAAACCCACCACAAGATTTTATGGTTGCATTTGGTAGAGCTTTGTAAATATGATTTGAGAGTATGAGTTGTATTTTGAGTTTGTGAGTTTTGGAATTATAATTTGAGTGTGAAAAATTTGTTTTGAAACGAGTTTTGAATTGAGTGGGGAATTTTTGATGTGACATATGATGTTTAATACAAAAACTTACAACTCATAACCAAACATACAATTCAAAATTCTATTAAAACATATAAAAAAATTTAAAAATTCAAAAAATATTTTTTTCAAAAATAAAAAAATTAACATATGTCAATTGAAAAAAAAAAAAAAAAAAAAAAAAATAATTAAAATTGCAAGGTTCCGGTCAACTAGCCAAATGACCGATTAAGCCAAATTTGAAAAAAGAAAATTCGAAAATCGCGCCTGAGACAGAGTTTTCTGCGGCGTTTTGGAAACGTGATTTGAGAACTCATTCCAAACATTATATTTGAATATGAGTGTAGAATCATTGTTTGAAAACACAACCAAACACAGCCCATTTTTAGAAGAGAATTTGAAACCTAAACTCCATTCAAAATCTTCAATCCAAGACTTAGATGATTTAAGAATCACTTCAATTTCTTCAAGCGATTATCTAAACTCACTTAAAAAATTGTTCTAAACTATTTTTTTTTTCTTTTTGCATTTATAGAGAAAAAAACCAATCATGCTGTTATAACTAATTTGGTTAACTTTAGAACAATAGTGAATTTAAATATTTGATATTTTCGTAAGACTCTAAACTCTAGTAAAATGTCAAAGACAATCAAATAATTGCTCGACAGCACATTTAACCAACTCAAAAATCTAATTGGATTGGATTCTCAATAGAATTAAAACCAATTACAATTGAGAGAATTATTATATGTGAGACAGTGTTTGTCAAATGAGTTTACTAAAACTAAGTAATATGATAATGTGGGTGTTTGGGTAGTGGCTATTTTAGAGGCTTTTGGGATTTTTAGCTATTTTAGTAGGCTATTTTAATTTTTGTGTTTCGGAAGATAGGATGAATTTTTATTTGAATTATTGTATTGAAAAATATATTTGAAATGATATTTGAAGTTGAAATGACAAATTTGTTCCTAACTTTACTTTTTCAAAATTGGCCTATAGGGGCAAAAGTGTCATTTCGGCCTGTGGGAGTAGGCTGGCCCTACCCACTGCCGGCTGCAGGCTGCATTGGCATTTTTTTTCTTTTTTGTAAGTACAAATTATTAGTTTAGTAGGCGATTTGGCTTTTTTTTTATGGATTAGTGTGGCTTTTTGGCTTTTTTTTTTTTTTTTTTTTTTTGTATTTGAGGCTATTTTAGCCTCAACTTTGGGTTTCCAAACACTCCCAATAACTCATGGAAGGGAATTTTTTTTTTTGAAAGTCTTGGCAATATGATTGCTCATATGTAATACGAGAGTATTATAATTTTATGTGAGAAAAATATAAGAAATGACATTTGTTATCAAATTGTACACAAACAAAACAACTCATAGAGTGAATGACTTATTTTCATATCACTGTTTGTCATATTATTCTATACTTTGTTTTGTGGGCATTGAGAGGGTAATTTTTGGGAAAAATTGGGCCGAGCTTCGAGTTGGGTTTTGAGGCCCAAAACGCAGAGGACTAGGTAAAAAGGCCGTACTGAATACTCCGGCCTAGAAGGCAAGGTTACTCCAGCCTTGGGGAGACAAAGTTACTTCGGCCCAAGGAGGTGAGTTTATTCCGGCTCAAGAAAAGATAGTTGCTTCGGCCCAAGGAGGAGTAAAGCTACTCCGGTCCAGAGGCAACTCGGAGTTAGGCCGGTCTCAGAGTTAGTCCGGTCGCAATATGTTCTTCATATGTAATATGAGGGTATTATAATTTTATGTGAGAAAAATATAAGAAATGACATTTGTTATCAAATTGTACACAAACAAAACAATTCATAGAGTGAATGACTTATTTTCATATCATTATTTGTCATATTATTCTATACTTTGTTTTGTGGGCATCATTTCGTAAATTTTATAGTGAAGACCATTTCTATAAATAAATAAATAAAACTTTATAAGATATCAATGAATAAATCACATTTTATTTATAAAATGAATAATTTAATTTAAACTCTTAATTATAGTGCATTTGAAAAAACAAAATATAATTTGTTTATGTGTCTAATAGGATTTGATGAAATTAATTTTTATACAACTCATCTTTACTACTTAAATCTATAAGATCAACCATTCGAATTATTATTGTAAGTGCAAAATAATACTCATAAAATAAAATATGAAAAATCAAGGCTCCAATTATTTTCTATGATGCATTAAAGAAGAGAGTTGAATATTCAAGAATGAGTTGTCCAAATCATAGAAGTATTGATAGAGAATCTACAAGGTAAGGACGCAACTGGCAATGATTAGGTCCAGATTGCAAGTAAAGGAGAGATTATTATGGATTCAATTATTTATGTACTTTGTTTAGGGGAAATTATCAATAGTTCTTAATAGTTAGATTTAATTTGTATTAAATTCTATTGAAAATAAGTTTTAGTAAAATTGTCGCTAAAAATAATTTTTTTGTGACAATTTTTTATATATGTCGCTAAAATTTGACAATTAGTGACTTTTTTTTATAATTTTTATAAATTGTCGCTAAAACTTATAATTAGTGACGTTTTTTATAACAATTTTTTTTATAGGACTTATTAGACAATAAATTTACTTATTATAAGATCTACACGTAAGTATCCCTTTTGTTTGACGGGTTGAGTTTGGTACTATCAGATAGTGTACAAGCTGTAAACATTTTTATTTTATTTTTAGAAATTCGAACCGACAATCTTGTAGAGGGTTATTTTGAGAATTAATTATTTTAGTTGATTTTTTAATTTTTTTTATAAAAATTCGTATAAAGATATAGAAAGAATAATTGATTTTTTAGTAGTAAATTTTTATTTATTTATTTTTTAGTAGTCCAGATTTTGCTTAAATGCATTGTTCTTAAAAACCACAAATTGATTTGAAAAAACGTTAACCATTTGTGCCCTAATAAATATATAACATTCTTTTACATGTTTAATTAATTAATTAATTAATTTATTTTATTTAGTTGCGTTCTTGAAATTAATGTATTAATGGTAGTGGTAGTGGTGGTGGTAATAACTTTTGTAGTTTGGTGGCATTGGTAAGTTTTTAGTATGGAAAATATTTTTTACAATTTAAAAATAAAAAAATATTTTCTGTTCAAATATTGGGAAAACTCATAGGAAATGGGACTCAAATTTACAAAATGCTGAGAATTTTGTGTGGTGTAAGTTTTTTTAGTCCTATAAGTTCAATTACTTTCTTCTATCATTTTGGTCTAAATTACTTCTTTATTTATGTCTTATTTCATTGACTAATGAAACAAAAAGTGATAATCAGTGATACGTCTATTTCTACGGAATGTGATATTTGGTCAAAGAATTGATCTTTTATGTAAATACAAATATGATTAATGAAATTATTTAGTGAGAAGAATAAACTATTGTTTTGAATGAATTTTTAAATCATTTTTATCCTACTGCCGCTAGATTATCACAGGCCGGCCACTGAAAAATTTGTAGGTGGTGGCGACTGTTGACAAATAGAAGGATTAAGTTGGCAAATATGTGATCTATGGATAGATAAGAATGTGACATATAGACAAATAGAGAGATAACATGTTGACAAATATGTAGATAAATAAATGACACTTCGATAGTTAGATGGACAATATGCAAATAGACGGATAGGTAATGATAATATGGTCTTTTTAATTATTATTAGTATTATTTTTGTTCTTTTAACCCCCCAAAGTATAGTTCTGAGGGCTATTGTCCAAAAATTTTGAAATTGAACTTGTGGGCCAACAAAAAAAAACAAAGCACAAATTTAATCATAAGAGTAAACAACAGATTGAAATATCAAACAACAACAGAGTCAAAATGTATAGGCAAATACTAATTTAAGAGGGGACTCTATTGTCTATACTATTATATAAAATGTATAAGTTAATTGATGTAAACACTTTTTAAACTTTGTCATACTTTTTTTTAGTTTTCAAAAATTCCCACAACAAATAATCAATTTGAAAATTATTATATGAAAAAACAAAACTGATTTAGATATTTAAAACTCCAAAAACACGGACAATTTCTAATAATATTCTTTATTCATAACTATAGATCTTTGTATGTGCATCACATGTGCACCCACCACCAGTATCATTATAAAATACAGTCTGGTCCATTGATCTCTACAAGCTTGTCTACTATAGAAAACAAAGTCAAGCTATAGTGAAAGGAAAGGAAATTAAACATGTCCAAAACTTAAAATGCAACTAAACATGGCTAGCAAGCTCAACTCCATCTCCAGTGGATTCACCATCTTCCTTCCTATGAATCTCAACCGGCTTGAAAGTATAAAATTTCGCGCAAAACGCATAGTACACAAGGTTAATAATTTGCATCAATGTGATCAACCAGTAAAAATACTCCAACTTCCCTTCATTCAAATTGTAGTCTGGAAGCCAGTTTGATCCGCCAGGACCGGCACTCAACTTATGTACCACGGTAACCAAAAGGGTACTCAAATAACTCCCCAATGAAATCGCTGACCAGAAAAGAGCCATGGCGGTGCTCCTCATGCTCTCTGGCGCTTGATCGTAGAAAAACTCCATGTGTCCAATGGACATGAAGGCCTCAGCCACACCATGGAGGCCATACTGCGGCACGAGCCAGAAGACGGAGATGGGTATGGTGGCCTTAGGGTTGTCGGTGAGGCCATAGGCCGAAGCCACATGTTTTCGTTTCACTTCGACAAAGCCAGCGACTAGGGTGGCGATGATTGAAATGACGAAACCAATGCCCATCCTGTTAGAAAAATATTAATCACCAATACAATTTTGTTGAATGAAAAATGAATTAAGAGATATAAAACAATTAAAATAAGAATGCATGTAAAATAACAGAAAAATATTAAGCAACAATACAATTTCATTCAATGAAAAATGAATTAAGAGATATAAAACAATTAAAATAAGAATGCATCTAAAATAACATAAAATAATAAACAGTCAACTTTTGAGATTGAGAGGTATATAATCACTATTTTAAAGTCGTCGTTTCTCCTTATGCAAAGATATAATCAAAGTGCAATGGTTTCAAGATATAATCTATGTATTAATAGCTTTGTTCATCTAAAGTTCACATCTATAAGAAATGTATGAGTTATGAACAAAAGCTGCCTACAAAACTAAGTTGCCTAGAAAACTATACAAGGGTATTTGGGATGTGCAAAATAAACCTACTTTATAGTTCTTTTAAAAAAAAAAAAAAAAACCTAAAAACCCAAAATTATTATCAGTTAAAAAAGCCAAATGTCAAGTTAACTTTTTTCACTCATAAGAAACTTTTTTATCAACCTTTGTAGGAAGGTGATGCCACGGTCAATGCCGGTGAAAGTACGGATGAAGGGGACAAAAAGGCGGTCGTAGAAGGCGGTGGTGGCAAGCATACAGGTGAAGGTGAAGACGGTCATGGAACCGGCGGGGATTTGGAAGGAGGATGTGAGGTGCCTGTCCATGGTTTTGGCTTGTTGGAGGGAGAAAGTGGTTTGTTGGGAGTAGGCGGTGATGAGGATGATTCCGGCAGCCCATATAGGTCCCATTCGAATCACTGATTTTAGTTCTTCGACACGGTGGACGGTGTTCAACCTCCATAGGTTGGGTGATTTTAGGTCGTCTTCTTCGGTCACAGTGGCTGCCTTGTCCAAAAATCTGCATACCAATATAGGAAGAGAAAGGGTTAATTTTCCAGCTTGTAGGTCTATACTATACTAAATTTAAATTTACACTCAGCATTTGAATTTTGAACCATTTTCTAATATTTTTTAGGCACATAGCATTTCTAAAAAAAAAAATTGTTCAATTTTTTGTTGAAAGAATTCAAGAAGGTGCAAACTCTAGTATACTGTGGATTGGAAGGTCCATTTTGGGCTCTTAAGACTGAGACGGATTTCATTATGATAATTTGAATTATTTATCTTATAGATTCTTGTGTAGTTCATGTATTAAAGGTTAAATTGATAATCATTATCACATAATTTTATCATAACTGTTAAAATAAATAAATAGAAATCTTACTTTTCAAATCATATTTATCATTTATTTTTTGAGACAAATAAAATAAAATTATATGATTATGATTATAAAATCAATTTGAATTTTTTTATAAATGATATATATGTATACGATATATATATATATATATATATTTATAAATGATAATGACCTTCAAAATATACCACTAAAATTATAAAAAATGTGACCTATATGTTCAAACCTAGAGACCCAAATTTGACATTCCAATCAACTATATAGACAGAAGAGAATCTCCCATTTAAAGAAAACAAAAATCCTAATTGAGGTTCAGAATGTAGAAATATCGATCTATGGTACTTTAAAAAAATCAAATATAAAGTTTTTTAAATGAAAAAAAAGTATATCCACATGAAATTGAGAGAAGAAACTAAAACCAGGATAATGTAATCCAATCTTCAACAGATGTTGGTAGTTTGTGGATGAGTGAATGTACAATCAGCTCTCCCCCATGGTGCTTCTCATGAGCTCGCCAATAAATTTATTTTATTCACATGTAGAGGACCAAAAAAAAAAACAAACAAAGAAGCTATGTACACGTGTCATCTCATCACATCTTCTCTAATTAAATTTTTTGTTATCAATAAAATATAAAATCACTAGAAAACATCAAGAAAAGGCATCAAATTAATGGGAAACTAATGCCTGTTAGGCTTTGGCATAGTATAATTACGAAAAAAATTATCAAAATGTGATATGTGTTTAATTTTAGTGACTCAAAATGAACAATTAAAATGATCAAAATGATATATGCTGAGTGTTGTCAGCTTGCCAATTGAGGCTTTGTTAGGTTTTGGTTTCAATCTTGGATTATGCTTTTAAACAAAGATGCTCAGAGCTTTACAGCTCTTTTATTTATTTATTGATGTAATCTGTTATAATTCTTGTACTGTTTTTTCATCAATAAGGTTACATTTGATTTTTTATTAGAGTTGTGATTTTAATCCAAAATATATATATATATATATTAAAACTCTTTTTCAAATTCATAACCAAACACATAATTCAAAATTCAATTTAAAAACTATTTTCAAAATTCATAATTAAACACACAACTTAAAACTCAATTCAAAGTTTTTTTTAAAACTCATAACCAAACTATTTTCAAAACTCTATTTTAAAAAAAATATATATATTTTTTATTTTGTTTTTAAAATTATTTTTAAAATCATGATTTCAGTATGGAATTGTGTTTTGAGTTATGAGTTGAGTTTTGAAAAGAGAAATTTTGTTTGGTTACGAGTTTTGAGTTGTATTTTTTCAATGTACAGTATATTTCATGCAATTGTGCGTTGTATTTTTTTTAAAAAAATATTTGAGTTGTTTTTTTTTTAAATATTTAAAAATTTTAAAAAATTTGATTTTATTTTAAATGTATAATTTATTATAATTTTTTTAATATTTTTTAAATTTTAAAAAAATGTGAATTGCCATATAAATCCAAATCATAACAAATTATTTGGACAATACTTAGAAAAATAACAAAATTTACTTTTCAAAAAAATAAAAATAAAAAAATAATTTTTTAATTTTTTTTTTCAAAAAATATAAAAGAATTTTTTTAATAGAATTTTGGAAAGAGTTTGGTTATGAATTTTAAAAAGAGTTTTTGAATTGAGTTTTGATTTACGTGTTTGATTATGAGTTTTGAAAATAGTTTTTTAATTGAGTTTTGAGTTATGTATTCGGTTATAATTTGAGTGTGGAGTTGTGTTTTGAGTTTAAAATATTAAATAAAATAAAGTATTTAAATTAAAAAATTAAAAATAAAATTATATATTTAAAATAAAAAAAAATTCTTAAACATTTTTTAATATTTAGGAAAAATAAATCCAAATTTTTTTAAAATGCAACTTAAAACTCCAAATTCAAAATACAACTCAAAACTCTTTTAAAAATTCAAAAACTTAAAACTCTCTTCAAAACTCATAACCAAACAAATTTTCTCTTTTCAAAACTGAACTTACAAGTCCACACATAAATTACCATTTCACACTCAAATCATAATTCTAAAATTAAACCAAACTTAATTTTTATTTTTTTTTATGTTTATTCGAGTCATATGAAAGGGAGTGTTAACCTTTGATCATGTGGATTGGTTTGATCTGATTAGATTGAATTTTAAAGTGAAAATTCAAAATTCAACTACAAGATGATGTAGGGTTGATCAGATAGGACATAATAATATGAGAATAGAACCAATCACAATTTGCGTGTTTGGTTTGCCAAAGTTTTGGCGTGTGGGTATGACCTAATGAAGGACTAGAAGACACAACCTTTTGTTGGTTAGCATAAAAGCAACTTTGAGGAAAGAGAAATTATTCGTTACCCAAACACACAAGAAATAGAGACAATTATATGTATAATGAAGAATTTTTTAGTAATTTGTTAAGAAATTTAAAATATTTATACATCAATTTTTATTACAACATATAAGAGTTTTAGAAATTAAATTTTTTAATTTTTAAAAGTGAAAATTTTATTATAAAAGACATTTAGAGACTAATTTTTATCGTCGTAATGATGGTTGCTAAAAGGTCGTATCGAAAAGTAAAAAATAAGGCTTTTAATAACAAAATTAGAAAATATCACTAATAAATAGTCTTTTAAGGACAAAATAATTTAGTCTCAAAATAATTTATTTTTTGAGATAAAAAATTTGATCTTAAAAGGATAATAATTTATCACTAAAGTTTAATTTTTTGTTGTTAAAAATATAATAATGACATTTTTTATAACAAAAATATTTGATCCTTAAAAATTAATTTTGTCTCTAAATTTTAGTGTATAAAATTTTAATTTTTTTGTAGTGTTCATAGTGCGTTTAATAAAGAAATATATAATTAATTAAAATTTTGTTAATAAATACTTTTGCCATGTTTGATTGGGAGTTTAGAGAGGAATTAGACCTTGTTTTGAGAAAATGGGAAAAAAAAAATCAACTTATTCATTGATTTATTTGAGTCATATTACCTCCATATTTTTTTACACGTTTTTTAAAAAACAAAAATTCAATAAATAACGTTTTTCATACTTCTCAAAACAAGCTTGGAATAGTAATCTATATGGGTTCTAAACTGTATTTTTGTTTGAAAAAAAATGACATGTGATTAACAATCTCATGGGACTATCAATCCCCACACTTTACAAATCCTTTTTTTTATTTATTTATATGTAATTTTGTAAATTCAATTAGTACATAAATAAATGTATTTTGTCTTATATTTTTAACTTAATACCATTACACTAATAATCTTATTACTCAATTTTATGATACTCATAATAATATCTAACATAATCTGTCAAACAAACATGTCCATTAAGACATTCCTTAATCAAATTCTATAATAATTACGTGAATAAATAATTACAAAATCAATAACAAAAATATTTATAAAATACTATATTTGGATCACCTCTTTGTAGTACAATCATTTTTTTGATTATTGAGTCAATCTTATCTCATCATCTGTCGTGTATATCTATTATCATTTTCATGATTAATTCTATGATTACTTTTGTCTCCATATAATTATTAAAAAATATTTGGTGGCCATAAATTCTGTACTTTAAATGGTCCAAAACTGTCAAAACAACGTCGTTTTGACTTATTTTGCATCCAAAACGATATCGTTTTGACAGTTTCGGACCATTTGAGCCACAAAATTTGTGGCTCCTAGCATTGTTGATAATTATTATACATATTGGGCCACATGCATGCATGAGAAGATTATGTGTGGCTGGCATGGTCCACTTACAATAACCTATGGCATGTTACATGTGCAAAGTCACAAGTACATATGTTTGTGCTTGTGTAAATGATTGATTCATAAGAGAAGTCTAACAACTCCAACTCGGAATTTTGTATCAGAATATAAATGAAGAATTTGAGATTCAAATAATATATTATGAGATTCATAGGGAAATTAATTTTGAATTATATATTTAAATTTTAGATAAATTATACTTTGATATTTTTGCCATTTTGATTTCTGAAATTTTAACACTCAATTTTAATTATAAATTTATGATTTTGTCTCAATTTGTTCTAATTGATTATAATTTTTAATATTTTGATAGAAAATGTTCACATGACTGACATAAGTTTTGTTTTTATATTTAAAATTATAAATTTGTTCAACTTACTAACTTAATCTCAACTAACTCAGCGACAATTTTTCTTCAAAAACTCTAATCCGTGTTATTAATTGGATTAAATTAATAAAAAAAAATAAAAAAAAATTAAGAGTTAAAATTAAATTAATTAAAATGACAAAGAGTAAAATAATACAATAGACAAAATGTAGAGATTATCGATATAATTAACCTTCACATTTCGAATCAAACTTTAAATATAAATTATAGATATATATAGTGTCTCTATTCATGAGAAGGCTGATGGGGTTGATGATAATGATATATTAAAACCACAGTTGGAGTGGTCTCCATCTACACTTGTCTGATGCTTCTGTTCCCACGTGATAATGGCCCTGTTTGGTGCAGCTTAAAAGCTGCTTATTTCAGCTTTCAGCTTAATTTAAGCTATTTTGATGTGTTTGGTTTAGCATATAGCTTATAGCTTATAGCTTTTTGGAAGTCAGAAATCAGCTTATTCTTTGAGTGGGGCAGGAGATGCTTAATTTATAAGTCAGAAATCAGCTTATGTTCATAGTTATAAGCTATAAGCTGTTTAAGCATAAGCTATAAGCACTTTTCCACAGCTCTACCAAACAGGGCCAATGAAAAGGATAACTTTGAAATTATATTTTTTGCACATTCAAAATTAATGCAAGTTTAATATTTTAAAAAATTTACATCTAAGATTTTTTATTTCCTCATTTGAATTACACGTTGGTTTTCTTTGTTTTTGTTTTCAACTTGTCGTTTTTCATTGATAAAACACACATGAAAACAAAAATTTTTACATCACACGATAGAAACGATGACTTTATGCACCGAAAGTAACAAGTTTTTTTTTTTGGTGAGTTTTGAGAGTGAATTTACCATTGCTTTGGGAGTTTCATAAAAAATGTGCAAAAAATAATTTGAATGAGATGAATTTTTCACTTTATAGAGTGAATTGGAAAATTTTTAAATTTTTTAACGAATTAAATTTATTTTTATTTTTTTAATTTTTTTCTTCAATGTTTGCCTAAAAAAATCACTTGTCAGTATGGCTGCAAATGAATAGAACTGTTCATGAACAGACTCGAGTTCAATTCGGTAAGAGTTCGTTCAAACTCAATTTGTTAAATTTTTATTACATTCGAGCGCGAACTCGTTAAAATATTAATAAATAAGTCCAAACATACTAAAACTCGGCTTGTTAGTTGGCTCATTTAACGTTTATTTAAATAATAGAATAAATATATTATTTATATATTAAATAATGTAAAATATGTATAAAAAATAGGATAAATATGTTATATATATATATATATAAATGTAAATAATAACTAAATGTATTTATATATAAATAATAGCTAACTATAGATAATATATTTATATAATAGTAGCGGTAGATATTATTATTTTAGTAAGATATTGACTTTTTTTTTACTATGTTTACATATACTCTATATATAATTATACAATCAAAATTTTAATTGTAACTTTAGTCTTATACGTAAATATGAATATTTATTTTTTTTGGTTTGTTAAGACTCATGAATAGGCTCGAGTTTGAGTCAAGCCTAATTCAACATGGTTCGAGTTCGATCCGTTAAATTTTTATCGAGTTCGGATTTGTTAAAATCTTAATAAATAAGCTCAAATATATTAAAATTTGACTCGATTCGGTTCATTTACGGCCTTTTTCACTTGTCAAATTGTGACTTGAACATTTTTGCTTGCACTGTTTTTTATCTAGGTAATGTTATGGTACATCTCTTTTAGGGTGTATATTATATGTATCCTTAGTTATGACTCTTTTAATGTTTGATTATAACTTATAGTGATATTAGTTATGACATATCGTGATATTAATTATAATATTATTTTAATTACATCCCATTTAATATTTAGTTATAACTCTTTTTTTTTTCCTTTTAATTACAACACCCATAAAATTAAAATATTATATTTATAATAATAAAATATACAAACATCATAATTTAACACACCCCTTGTGTGTACCATAGAATTCTCGCTTTTATCTACACGTGATCTTGTACCACTACTTTTATTTTTGTCGTTTCTTTCTCTCCATTATTAGAAGTGTATGGGTTAAGCTCAATCTGGGTTTGTACTAGACATCGAGTCTAGAATGACTATGTGCCATAAATAAATACGAAGTCTAATCTTTTTTTTCTTTTTAATTAATTTTTTTTTTAATTATTGAACTTCTTCTGTTTAATCAATTGTTCTTACAATTATGTCTAACACTAAGAAATTATAATAAAAAGGAGAGAGACTTACTTCATATGTTTAGTATGTAGAAGCTTTCCTTCCAGAGAAATAGAAGCATCAAGTTGATCATTCTCATAGAGCAATTTGGGATCAGAAACCCTAGCCAAATTTCTCTTCTTAAAAGCAGCCACACAAACTTGTACCAATCGGGTAAACGGGCTACCGGATGGGTCCAAGTTCCGATACATCGGGTACCCGAAAACAAAGGTGATGAGAGAAAGAAACATGGCTATGGCGGGAATTCCAAGTCCCCAACCCCACCCGATATTGTCTTGAATATAAACAATCACTGTGACAGCAACAAGCATTGAAGCCCCCATACCAAAGTAGTACCAATTGAAGAAGGTCCATGTTTGGACCTTTTGTTTAGGATCCGTTTGGTCGAATTGATCCGCCCCGAATGCCACAATACAGGGTCGGTACCCACCTGCCCCTAAAGCACATAGGAAGAGTGTTCCATAGAGGATTGCCAGCTGTCCACCATTGGCTTCTTGGCAGAGTGATTGATTATTATGATGATGATCACCTTTACATGGGGGAGGTCTTAATTGTGGTAGTACAGCTGATATTGTCAAGCCAGTCAGCCCCTAATTTAAAAAAAAAATTACAAGAAAGTAAGTTTTTAATTAAATTAAATTAAATTGTTGAATTCGAGTTTTATTATTGTGCAATGTAATTTTTTCTTTTTTAACATTTTTATTTTCTTACTACCAATTCCATTTGGTTGAAGTTGAGGAAAAATTTAACTTCAAACTAAACTTCCGGTTTTGTGAGAAGCTGAAACTTACCTCATGCTATGATTTGGCTTTGTAGGTTTAGTGTAAATAAAGTATTCCCATGAGATTTTAAATTTTTTACAGCAATTTGTAAAATTTTACATTAAAAATACATGAAAAAAAGAATGATAGTTACTTTATAAATGCCCCACTCTATAACTTTTATTATAAAACGTAAACTATTAGTTATTTAAATTTAAAGCTCAAAGAATTAAATATAAAAGTATTAAAATATAACATTCAATCAATTTAATTTGTGTTAGTGTAATTTTTGAAAAAAAATAAATAAAAACAGATACTATATTATGGAAAATCAATTTCTCTTTCACTCTCAAATTGTATTAAATTAAGGGGAACTACAGGGATGAATTGGAAAAAAAAAATTACTAAGGGAATTATAGCCTTTTGTTCACACCCAATTACAAACATACTTATATCGTATTTCATATATTTATAATTTTTTTTTTTTTAATTCTCACCTGCATATAATTTATCCTTAAATTAACAACGATGTCCAATAAAATGGCAACGAAGTCCAATAAAATGGCAGAAACAGGCATTTGACTTTGACGTAAGCTTGACAAGATTCTTTGTTTTTACTACCATGTTTGGAAGATAGGAGATATTGATAAGATTTTATACAGTGCATATCTGGACCGACCAAATCATGTTACTTCATTTTTTAATTCCACCAAATTGAATGTATTAATTATATTTTTTAATTTTCGTATCTCCATATCTCATATAATTATATGATTAAGATTAGACAAATAAACAAAAGCATTTAAAGATAAAAAAATCCCTAGCCTAAATCAAAAAATATATAGTACAAACCATGCAAATTTATGTTATCTACGCTAAGTTTGACATCTTTAAAAAAAAATTAAAAAATCAAAAAATTACTATCCTATTTAAATCACATCATCTTATTTAAGTCACATCACCTCTCTACCACATCATTTCAAACTCAACTCATATTTCATAAAAAGTTAAAAAGTATACTTATTTAGAATATCCCAAACAAACCCTTAGTATAATTTGTCTAATCAAATCAATTCAAATCAAATCTTAAATCCCATTAAATAAAATTAATTACATAAATATATATATATATATATATATATTTTTTTTTACTCGACTCTGTCAATGACTTTTTAGGATTAATCAACTTTGTAATTAATCTCTCTAAGGGAAATAATATGCCTATACACTTTGTAAATTTATTTTCGAAATTTAACGATACGTAAATATTATGATTGATGATTACGAAATATATAAGAAATAATATTATTTTAAATATCTAATTGATATGACATCATTAAAATTTAAAAATAAATACAATTTGTAAACTTAAATAATAGTAGTCTTTAGCCAATCTAGTGTGCCCTTATGAGACAAGATCACCAAAAGTTTCATATAATTATTAGAAAATTCCATTCAAAGTTTTACATGAGTTAAGCAATTCTACGTCGGTCCAAATGTAGGTCTCGTCAATAAATAAAATTTTATAATTCTAATTTTGAGTTCAATTTTTTTTAATAAATTTTTTCTTGTATCTTTTAAGAGCAATACTATAAATTCAAATTATTCAAAAAAAAAATAAAAAATTCATGGGTTAGATTCATTTTTACATCTCACTAATTTTAAATTTATAATGCTCAAATAATTTTTAAGATAAAATTTAAAATAAATTTTCATGTTTCGTAATATTTTGACTTTTAATTATCCAAATCAAAATTTAAAAACTTGAGAGAGAGAGAGAGAGAGAATTAACTATCTGATAAAGAATGGAAGCAACAGTGATGGTCCAGAAGCGGCCGACATAGGCGTCGGAGATGAAGGCGCCCAGGAGAGGAGTCAAGCTTGAAGTTCCGTTATAGTTTGTGAGTGTGTTGGCTGCCTTTGTTAATGGCATATGAAGCTCTTGTGTCAAATAACTTATCATATTGGTGCTAAATCCCACCACTGCTAACTTCTCACATACCTCATTTGCTGCACAAAACCACCACTCAAAACATAAAACACAAAACCCCCAAATCTCAAAACAATCATTTGTAGCACTCCAAGTTCAGAGGCCACCCTATGTCTCTGAACCGAGCAAGCCAGAGGAGATTTGAACCCTTATTTGGACTTTTAATACTGTCATTTTTAGTATATCAGTTGATACTTATTTTACAATATCACCTATACTTCTACTTAAAATCATGATATTCACTTACCGATTTAATGGCCCTTAATGGGTGTAGCAATAGCATGGTTTTAAATAATTAAATCAACGTTACGGCCATATATATGAGTTAATATCAGTAGATATATTGATGAATAATGATATTGAAAGGTCAAAATACAACCAGTAATAGTAGAAGAGGAAGAAGAGGGCATTTATTATTAAAACAACAAAAACTTACCAAAAATGAAGGGCATAGTGATCATCCCACCCTTTGGTCTTTGGGCATGGGAATCTTTTCTCTCCCTCATTTCCATCTTCTTAGCAACTCTTTTTGGTGCTCTAAATGGTCACTCAAACTCCAATATTTATAGGCTCCATGAAGATTTTAGAACAGTAATTAATGCTCCTGTAATTTGTAATTTTTTTTAAAGAAGTAAAATTCACTGACAAATTCATGGCCACAAGTATAGTAGTAGGCACATGATGTGGATAAGTGAGGGTACAAAATGTTAAAAAAGTTAGGTTCTGTTTATTTGATTTTTTAAAAAATTATTTTTAGATGAATTTTTGTTTATTTTTAATAATTTTTTTAATATTTTAATTAATATTTTATATTTTTTAAATATACTTCATCAAGATACATCTAAAAAGTAAAATAAATTGACTAATTTTTTTATAAAAAAATAAGTAAAAAATTGATGAAAATTTAACCAAAAATTTGTGTGCATTTTTGCTTATTTTCAGTGATTTTTTTCTTCATATTTTAGTTAATTTTTTTTTTTACTTTTAATACATCTAATCTCGATGTATCTATAAAATAAAAAAAATTGATTAAAATATAAAATAAAAAAAAAACAAAACAAAACAAAAATCCGTTAAAAAATAATTTTTGAAAATGGTAATCAAAGCCTAATTTTTGTCTAAATCACTTGTATATTATAAAGGAGGATTTAGTCAACACCCTTTATAATAGATGAGTTTTTGTTTATTTTTAATGATTTTTTTAATATTTTATATTTTTTAGATGTACTTAATCAAGATACATCCAAAAAGTAAAATAAATTAACTAAATTTTTTTAAAAAAATAAGTAAAAAATTGATGATAAATATTATATAATTTTGCTCGTGATTGTTTATTATGGTATTTGCTCGTGATTGTGCAAAAGGAAGCTCTTTGGTACACACCTTACCATATGCACATTTGTTATACATTTTTTTGATATATATTACATATTTTGTGATAAATATTTTATAATTTTTTGGTTGAATTACGATAATTTGTTGTTCAGAAATGAAATTGCGTAATTTTTGTGGTAGTGTCAAGTATTTTTGTAATAAAATTACACATTTTGTGGTTCAAAATTTTTGATTAAAAATATGTAACATTATCACAAAATGCTTAATATTATCACATAATACGTCACTTTATTTTTCAATAACAAATTATCATAAATTCTATCAACAGATTACATAATTTTTACGATAAAAATATGTAATACATACCATAAAAATGTGTAAAAAAATGCATATAGAGATTTAATTGCGTAAAAGATAGATATTTTATTGTCTTTCTTTGTGGGAGGAAACATTTTATAAAGTTTTAGAAGTGAATTAAGGTGCTAAAATCTTTTAAATAATTGGAGAGTAATAACATTATTTATTTGGTAGTTATAATTAGTAAGAAATCACAATATATAATTTTTGATTTCCAAACTATCTAATAAAGGTGAATTAACATATCTTTCTTATAAAACTTTTGACCACACGGTTAATTCCAGACACCTAATTATCTAAAAAATAGTGTAAAATTTCAAGGGGTTGGCTTAGTGGGTGGTGATGGGTTGAGTGGTCAAATAGCCCTCAATATTTTATTTATTAATAACAATTTGTTCATATATATATAATGTTTTAATTTATTACTATTTGACTAACATTTTATTGTTTAGTTTTTTTTATATTTTATTTACAGAAAGAGATAATGGGTGTGATTGACCAAATTGACTAAGTAGTTTGATTTGGTCAAACCATAATTAAGGCCTTGTTTGGGAAGATTGAAAAAAGACGAAAAGTCAAAAAGTCACTATCCTATTTAAGTCATATCATCTTATTTAAGTCACATCACCTCTCTAACACATCACTTCAAACCCAACCCAAACCCAACCCATATTTCATAAAAAGTCAAAAAATACACTTATTTAGTCTTCCCAAACTAGTGTTTTCCTACTAGTATGAGATATGTATGTGGATGGGGGTAATGGGGTTATTATCTCTTAATAAAAAAGAGTAGCATAATATAGATAAATGGTTGAAGATTTGGATGAGTGAAACAAACTCACAATCTGATTTATAGGAAATTTATTTTCTAGCGTGTATATAGATATGAGTGCATAAAACAATTCCCCCAATCTGATTTTTAGGAAGACATGTTTTAACGTATACTTTTGTACATATTTTCAACCATGAAATATATACACTATAACCCAAGCACAATATTTATAATATCTCTCCATTATCTATTGCTTCTGCAAACCTTTTATTTTTCTAGATATCAATTCAATGTTGCTATTGCTACTGGACATCACGGTGCCATTACAGCTCAAGATTTCTAACGCGGCGTCAATTGTTTTCTATCAGGTGGAGCTTAGGGTCTCAGGTTCGACTCCCACTATATCAACTCCTTAGGGGCATGCTCGTAGGTTTTGTCTGAAATTTAACCGATCTACATGGAGGAACACTTTGCATGGATCCCGAGATTAATTACGATTTACATAAATTGGTCTGATCACTCGATGATACAATTTTTTTTTTTTGCATAGATGTAATAGACATTTATATTCTATAACTAGCAAATAATTACCTATTAAAATGGCTACCATAATACTTTGCATTAATTGAAGCCTCTTTAATGACATGCAAAACACTATGTTGTAAGTGTAACGCCCTCAAAATAAACCCATTATGTGTATATCAACAACATGCATTATTTAAAGAAAACAATTTATTAATTCATTCATCAGAGTATTACTAAATAAAAACATTACATGTAACATCAAATTAGATGCCCTATGGGCTTACATCTTCCCAAGCCAACACTTGGACACAAAAGTATGAGTTCTAACTCAAATCTAACATCAAGGGTCCACAAAGCATGCAAAGAAAGCTAGTGAACCACTAGTTGTTCTACAGCTATATGAAGCATATGAAGGTTCACCCAACCAACCAAAAAAATAAGCATTTCATGCCAAAATATGCCCAAATACCCACTGAAACTCAGTCAATGCATGTGAAAATGAGGGGCTCCTTTGGAAGGCCATGCAAAGAGGTATTCTATACCTATATGATAGGTAAAAAAAAAAAGGGCAAAACCACCTCTTGTAATGAGTTATGACAGCCCTAAAAACCACCAAATAGGCCCTGAAATCAGTCAGGGAAACATGCAAAGAAAGGTCCCTTTGAAAGGTCATGAATGGGATTGCTCTACACATGCATCATAGACATAAAATGTGGCAAAATGAGCTCTTGACAGAGCTTAGGCAGACCTTAAAACCCACAAAATGAGGCCTGAAACATGACTTCAATGCATGCAAAATAAAGTCCCTTTGGAAGGCCAACAATGCTAGTATAGAGAATGAGGGGTGAGAGGGTCACCCCTCTATGCTTTTGGAGCTCAAAGACACATCAAGGCCACTGAAAATCCACTGGATTTCAGTGGCTAAGAGGCCATGACAAGGCCAATGCAAATGCTCACATGCATAGCTCAAAGCATGGGGAAATGAAGCATGCAAGGGAGAAGATGACTCCAAACAGAAAAGAGTCCTTAAACAAACATGTTTAGAATATCAAAAAAAAACTTTTTTTAGTTTATGTCGAAGTCCAAAAATGCTTGCAAGTAAGGCTAAGCTAGGATGCAAAAATAGCCCTAAAAGAGAGATGAAGCATACAAGGGGGTAGATGACCCCCAAAAGAAAAATGATCTTAAACAAACATGAAGAGGAGCCCAAAATAAGACTATTTTCAGTTTACACCAAGGCACAAAAATGCTTGCAAGTATAGCTAATAGATGAAGCAAGATAATGACCAAAAAGAGGGAATAGGAGTGTTACCCATGTAGCCAATGACAACAGCAGATTTTGAGGCCAAAAACTCAAATATTAGGACCTCTCAAGACCTTCCAAGAAGCTTAGGCTGGTATTGGAGGGGTTAGGCTAAGAGATGTAGTGTAAATATGCAAGAAAAATGGACTTTTGAGCACAAAAGAGAGAGATAGAGAGATGTATGTATATCTCTTAACCAAAAAACTTGAACCATTGCAATGGAAGAAGAGGCCTCCATTTATAGAAGAGAGGGGCTAAAGCTTCTCAAAGAAGCTTTAAAACTAGGTTAAAAAGGTCCAAGGTGGTCGACCAGTTAAAAAGGTCCAAGGTAGTCGGCCGACAACTTGGTCAGGTCGGCCGACCAGGGGTCATAAGGTTCAAGCCCCAAAGCTGGTCGTCCATGAAGCCCTTGAAGTTAGCTTTCCAATGCCGTAAACCTTGCATTAAAATTCCTCCTATGCAAAAAGTTATGCCAGTTTTGGTGAAGCCGCGCAGATTCGGTCCAAACGGACTTCAACCAACCATATCTCCCCCACCCGGACTTGTCCTTAGGAGATTCTTGAGTGAAAAATGAAGCCCCGGAAGTAATCTTTCGAATGGTGGTGACCTCATATCTTAATTCCTCCTATGCAAAGAGTTATGCCCGTTTCAGTGAAGCCGCGCAGATTTGGTCCTACCCGGATTCATGCCGAACTTTTCCTTAACTAGTTTTCCTTTCTCTTCTCCTCTTTTCTTCAACTCCAAACCCCTAGACAAGGTGTTTTGAAAGATTTTTGAAAGATTTCATCTCTCTTTCGTTCATTTCCACTTTGTCCTTGCTCGGTTTACCGAAAAGCGCAACATTTGACAAAATGCGAGCCTCGGAACATCGTAAAAACTTTATTTCAAAAACGTTTTGAAAGAGAGGGTTTTAAGGTATAAAATCTTTTGATCAAGATTTTTTTTGCCCAAAAAGGGGTATGAAGTTGAGATTTGACTCTCCTCTTGCCGAAGAAATCGACCCTTTGCATTTCTAAACCCAACCAACCTGAAACAAACCTGCCCAACACATCCTATAACTCCAAATGAGAAAATAAGGGACAACAACAACAATTATACAATGACAGAATCCACGGAACCTAAGTCCGGATACAATAATCAAATGGGAAAAGACCGGGGTCGCTATAGTAAGTGGCTCAATCAAAAGAATAATATTATATGTATCAATTAGTGTAATAATTAGTGTATTAATTGATGATGTGACATAATTTAAGATATTTTTAGTATTTGTAATTTGTATAATAAGTGAAATCAATAATAATGTTATAACTAATATTAATACACTAGTTAGTATACTAATTGATGCATATAGCACACTCTAATCAAAATATACTCTTGGCCAACAAGACGAAGACACCTTCTATAAAAATAAAAAACCAGCCAATTATGAAAGGTACATCTTCTTTTTGGCTCCATATTATTTATGAAAATTGTAATTTTACCAATCTTGACTGCAATAGTAGAATGGACTTTTTATTTATTTATTTATTTTTTATTTTTACTTTAAAATTTATAAATTATGAATTATTTGTCTAGAGGATGAATTTTTATTTAATTACATTATCATTCATCCTACCCACATCGAAAATTTCATCCAGAAATTTGTTACCAAAATCACAAATTTGGTAAGGCCCATCTAACTTTAAAAGAAAAAAAAAAAAAAAAAAGGAACAAGTATAGTTGGTCCCCAGACTTTCTTTCTTTTACAGTATTAACAACCATGCATTTGTTAAAGGCATTACAAGAAAAGTGGGTTTATGAGACGGAACTATTTGCGACGGTACACATGCCGTCTCAAAAAGTCACTTTTTGCGACGGCACCATTTGCCGTCTCAAAAAAGCAGAGCATTTGCGACGGCACAATTTGCCGTCTCAAAAAATGAGAGCATTTGCGACGGTATTTTCTGCCGTCGCAAATGCTCTCATTTTTTGAGACGGCAAATTGTGCCGTCGCAAATGCTCTGCTTTTTTGAGACGGCAAATGGTGCCGTCGCAAAAAGTGACTTTTTGAGACGGCATTGAGACGGCATTTTCTGCCGTCGCAAAAAATGACTTTCGTGTTTTTTTTTTTTAGTGAATATTTTTAAAATTTTAAATATTTTTTTTAGATGCACCTTACTTAGATGTATCTAAAAAAAATTATAAAAAATATTTTTAAAAATTAATAAATATATAAAAATACAAAAAAAATGTATTGAATTATTATATTTTTGGTATTTAGTGAATTTTAAAAAAAAAAATTTACAATTTTTTTAATTTTTAGGTGTATTTATGTTAGATGTGTCTAAAAATTAAAAAAAATACTTAAAATATTAAAAAAATTCAGTAAAAACAATATAACACGGAAAATAAAAAAGTATAATTTTCTCAAAAGAGTTTTTGGAAAACTCTAACCTAGCATAGTGATTGTGGTTTTGAGACAGCTTCATATATATACAGTCACAAAATGGTTTGAATAAATGCTAGTACTTTTTTCTGTCGCAAAAAAAAAAAATTAAAAAAAACAATGTCGTCTTACTCTTTTGATATAACATTTATCTTTTCATTCATTTTTTCATCTTCTTGTCTCTCTGTCTCTATCTCTCTCTCTTCTCTTTATCTCTTTCACTCATCACTCTTCTTTCTCTGTTTGTCAGTTTCTCTCTCTCATTTTCTCTCTGTGTCTCTCGCCTATCTTTATTCTCTCTATCTCTCACATCTGTTTTCTCTCTCTGTCTCTCTCGCTCGTCTCTCTTCTCTCTATCTCTCTCATTTCTTTTCTCTCTCTCTCTCTCTCTCTCTCTTATCTTTCTATCTCTCTTTATCTCTCTCGCTCATTTCTCTTCCCTCTCTGTCTCTATCTTTTTTTGTGTCTCTCTCTCGCTCATCTCTTTTCGTTCTATTTCTCTCTCTTTTTGTCTATCTCTCGCTCATCTCTTGTTTCTCTCTCTTTTTCTATCTCTCCATCTATCTCTCTCTTTCTCTATCTCTTTTTCTGCCTATCTCTCTCTCTCTTTCTCTCACTCATCACTCTTCTCTCTCTCTTTGTCTACTTATCTATTTGTCTATTTCTCCATCACTATGTTCTCATTGCTCACTCTCTTACTCTCATCTTCTCTATTTATCGAGCTCCTTCTCGATTTATCGATCTACTATAAACGACGTCGCCTTACTCTTTTGAACATTTCTCTTTTCACCCATTTTTTCATCTTTCTATCTCTCTGTCTCTGTCTCTCTTCTCTTTCCCCCTCTTACTCATCACTCTTCTCTGTCTGTTTGTCTCTCCCTTTCTCTGTGTCTTTGTCTCTCTTCTCTGTCTGTCTGTCTGTCTCTCTCTTTCTCTCTGTGTCTCTGTCTCTCTTCTCTTTCTCTCTCTCACTCATTACTCTTCTTTGTCTGTCTGTCTGTCTGTCTGTTTGTCTCTCTCTTTTTCTCTATGTCTCTCGTCCATCTCTCTTCTCTGTATCTCTTTTTTTTCTCTCTCTCTCTCTTTCTTTGTGTCTCTCACTCATCTCTTTCTCTCACCACTCTTCTCCTCTACCACCTTCACCACTACTGCAAACGTCATTTCACTACCACCACTACTACCATGGTCGCCATTTCACCTTTACGACTACCATTACTACTACCATCGCTACCACTCCACTACCACCACTATCACTATTGCCATTACTACTACTACCATTACCTCTCTTTCACCCCTGCCACTCCATCTACTCTACCACTACCACAACTTCAACACTAATCTCCTTTGCCATCACCACCACCACCATCGTCTCTTATCCACCACCTTCACCACTACTGCCGCTTCCTCTTCTCTACCACAAAATATTACCTCTCTTCTCTTTCTCACTTATCACTCTTCTCTGTCTGTCAGTCTTTGTCTCTGTCTCTTTCTCTTTCTCTCTTTGTCTCTCGCTCATCTCTCTTCTCTCTATCTCTCTCATCTCTCTATCTCTTTTCTTTATCGCTCATTTATCTTCTCTCTATCTCTCTCTCTCTCTGTCTCTCTCGCTCATCTTTCTTCTCTCTTCTTCTCTCTTTTTCTATGTCTTTCTTTGGATCATCTCTTTTCGCTCTATTTCTCTCTCCCTTTGTCTATCTCTCGCTCATCTCTTATTTCTCTTTATTTTTCTATATGTCTCTCTCTCTCTCTCTATCTCTTTCTCTCTCTGTCTCCCTGTCTCTCTCTCTATATCTCTCTCTCTTTGTCTCTCTTTCACTTATCACGCTTCTCTCTCTCTTTCTCTCTCTGTGTCTGTTTGTCTATCTCTCGCTCTTCTCTCTCTCTACTACTACCATTACCTCTCTTCTACCACCGTTATTCTATCTCATCTACCACTACCACAACTTCACCACTTATCTCTTTCACCATCACTTAACAAAAAAAAAAAAGGGGTCGCAAAAAAATATTTTTCATTAGCCACAAAAAATTAACTTTATTTTAATGGAAAATATTATCCCTACTTTTACCAAATAAAAAAATAATAATAATTTTGTATTCATTAAAATAAATATGAAACAAATAAATTTTCAACCTTACTAAATGAAAAAATAAAAATAAAAATTCATTAACTATAAACAAATTATTTTAATAAAAAATATATTTTTTTTAACAATGACATCCTCTGTTGCGAAAAAAAAAAGTTGTTTTATTATTTAAATATTCATTTGTAATGAAAATTAGAAAAAAAAATTCAAAAAAATTTCCATTCTCCCCCCTTCCTTTTCCATTCCCGCTCAGGTTCCCCCCACCCCAAACCCAAAATCCCCAATCTCAAAAATCCCTAATCTCTTCTCCCTTCCCCTTTTTTTCCATGCCCGCTCGGGTTTCCCCCATCCCAAACCCAAACCCAAACCCAAACCCAAAATCCTCAATCTCAAAATCCCTAATCTCCTCGGGTTTTCCCCCACCCCAAACCCAAACCCAAAATCCCCAATCTCTGGAACCAAAATCCCCAATCTCAAAATCCCTAATCTCTTCTTACGTCTCTCTCTCTCTCTCTCCCTCCGTCTCAATTTGTTTCATATGCTGATTCGGATGATTCACGGTCGAGGAGGAAGAGGAAGAGCAGGAGTTCTAGGCGTAGAAGTAAGAAATCGGAATCAGTTGGTGATAGTGAATCGGATGAGTTGAGTGAAGACATTCACGACGGCCTTCAAGACGAGCCATGGGAAGAACGAACTCTCCACCTCCTTTACAACGCCAAGATCGATCAAGGTCTCTCTCTCTCTCTCTCTCAATTCTTATTGATTCATTACCGTGACGTGTTCTTTGATTATCACAGATTTTTCAATTGCTAAAGTTCAAAAATGTGGACGAAAGAAGCACAAAGTGCACTGGATGTCGAAGAGAGCTATGGCAATTCCTCAAGTCATCATCGAACTTCAAGACCAAGCCCTAAGAGAATCTACTCTCCGATGTCTCAGTACTTTCCTTCTCGAGGTCCATTCTAATCTCAAAACCTTTATGTATAATTTTTTATTCTATGATTAATTTATTTCTTTCTTGGGTTTCTTGTTAATCAACCTATCAGTTTGGATTCTTTTCTTATTATTGGTTTCTTTCTGAAATTGGGCAGTACCAAATACAAGTATGAATGATTTTTTTGATATTAGGGGCATTTTGTATTTTTGATATTAGGGGCATTTTGTATTTTTGAAAATGCTTTAAGGGTGTCTAAATTAACATTTCTTCTGACCATGTTTACTTTATTCAGAGTGACTGAGGAAGTTGTGAATGAAGGTGAAAAAAATGTGGCTTCTAAGAAGCCGGCTGGAGAGGAAGAAGCAACCGATGTTAACAAGGAGAATCCTGCAAATGAGGCTGCTGAAGAAAAAGAACCCGAGGAGAAGGTGAATATCTTCTATTTTTGTATTTTAGATATATTGATAATCCCAAAATTCACCTTCTCATGGTTAAGTTCTGAAGTTTCAACAAAGAAAAATGGACATTAAGCAAGTTGATGGCAGGTTAGACTGAGGTTACGTGTTGATAAGAAAATGCCTTTTCAGGTCACTTTTGATCTGCCAACAGCTTGGTTTTCTAAGCAAATACAATGCAAAATATATTGCATTCAGCATTTTGGAATTTATTTTCTTCAGAATTGTCCATATATGGGTCTTTTTTGTTTTGACTTCTTTGGTTTTTCCTTCCCCTTTTGGTAGAATTTTATTTTATTTTTAACTAATTGATAGCATGTTTTCTAGTATAATAACATGATTATGCTCTTCAAATTCTTCATGTTTAAACCTTATAAACTCTTGCAACTTGGACCTCTTGAGCATTTCTTCAGATAAAGGATGGGCACGATATTATATACTCATGCTGATTAATTCTTGTTATGTTTTGATGAAAATGATACAAAAAGGAAAGAGGAGAAACAGAGATGGAAAGAATAGAATAGAGAAGATGAGTAGAGAAGTAAATCATAGAAGAGAATGGAGTAGCAAAAAAATCGGAGAAGAGAAAAGGATGGGGAGAGAGCGTTACTCTTGTATTTCTCAACTTAATTTGAAACTAATTTCGTTTTACGCCAATGAGTGGCTATGTGGGCTTCATAAAATGCTAGGAACACAATTACCCACTAAAACAAAGCCTACCTAACACAATAATCTTGCAACCAAAATTCTGTCACTTAAGCCTCTAAAAGCCCTACTAAAATGAAGAAAAAAACAAGATTTTTTTGAGATATTCGTGATAATAATACTTAGGAAAATGATATTAACTCACATCACACTCTTTTGGTCTTTGCCTCCAATTTTTCATCGTCTTTCCTCTCATGAGGGGGAGTGTGAATATCATTTCCTAAAATATATCAATCAAAATTTTATTTTTTTAAGTTTCTTATCATCTTGGCTGTAGTAGAACCTTTTCAATAGTGCTATCCTAAATGTCTGTGTAGGAATTTGAAGGATTGATTGATAATGATTACTCTATTATGATAACAAAAAACTTTGAGGAATTCAAAAGTCAAGACGCAGTTCATTTGTGTAATTAAGCATGATAATGGTATTTTTTATGCATCTCTAAATATTCTTATGGTAATTGTCCTGAAAACAATACAGGAGATGACACTTGAAGAGTATGAGAAGGTGTTGGAAGAGAAGAGGAAGGCACTGCTGGCCCTTAAAACTGAGGAGAGGAAGGTGGCTGTTGACAAAGAACTGGCATCCATGCAACAACTCTCAAGCAAGAAGGACAATAACGACATCTTTGTTAAATTGGTGAAATCCGTTGACACTACTTGAATTTTTCTTTTCATAAACTCACAACTATATTAATTATGAGTTACATATGATGTTTTATATAGGGTTCTGACAAGGATAAGCGAAAAGAATTGGCGGAAAATGAAGAGAAATCCAAAAAGATACGATGGTTTGCCTGAAATTTTCAGAGACATAGTTAAACCTTGTGGTCAAATTTGCGAGCCCTGCACTCTTACTTACTATTGGCACTTTTTTCTTTCTTTCTTTTTTTTTTGTTTCTTTTCTGTTGATCTGCACATTGTTTTGTCTTTCTTTTAGTTTGCGTTGTTGATTTGGATTTTGGATCACTGTGAACTGGCAGACTCAAAACGTCTGGTGTATCTGCTCCACATAACAAAGATGTTTTATTTATTGGTGTATATAGTTCAAGGGCTCACATTGAGAGTCTTAATTGGACAGTACTTGGCCAATTATTATATGGCTGATCGAGTTATCTGGACATGGCTTGCGGAAAGATTTCTTTCATCCATTGCAAGATATTTAGTGAACTGCTATTGCCCTTTTCTTGGGGTTTTCAAAGTTTGCCTAAATGCAGTCCAAATTCCTGAATTGTTGAAAGATAATTAAATAATGGTCCTACTAACGATATCCGATGGATGTTTGTTAAGGACCAAATAATGTCAACAAACAATAAAAATCATATACACATTTCACATATTCCTATACACGTTTATTTACACTTTTCACATATTTCAACACATTTTATATAGGATATAGCTGATGATTTTACGATTTCATGCATATTTCTTTCCTTACCCTGAAATTTGTCGTCAATACTCATGTATTGCTCAGATACTTATCCTTTTGGTGGACGTAAAATGCGTGGTGTTTTCAAATTTTGGGTTAACTGATTCTTGATTCACTTGTTGTAGTCTGTCAGCATTAACGAGTTCTTAAAGCCCGCTAGAGATAGGTACTACAGTCCCGGCACCCGTGGTAAGGGTGGGCGTGGACGTGATTCGAGAGGAGGTTATGGTGGAGGAGGTGATTCGAGAGGAGGTTATGATGGAGCAGGTGCCAAGTGAGATTATTACGTCATGCCCTCTTCCATCAATCTCTACTGTCCTTGTTTGACTAGAAGAATAATGGAGTTCTCTGTATCAAAAAACCAAAAAAAGTTTTTAATGCCTTAAAAGTAAATTTCAGGTGTTTCTTCGTGTGTTGTTCCCATGTAGCTTCCTCCCCCTATACTACTATGGTCTTTTTTTATGTTTTGAAAGTTTGGGACACATGAAAATTTGATTTATGACTTGAAATTGTTGTTGCTCAGTTTTGTTTTCAATAGATGGAAGACAATTTAGGTTTTATCTTTGTTATTTTTTTCTCATTCAAGATATTTCCATTTATGATAACAAATTTCACATTTTACCCTGTCAGTTTTGATACTTGGCAAGTACCCAGTAGTTAGTAGTTGGCTAACAAATATCACATTTTTAATAATTTCATCGGAGGATTTTTTTTTCTTTTTTTGTGACGGCACTATACTGTCGCAAAAAACAGAAAATTTTATTATTTTTATTGATTTTGTTACAGGTTTTACTTTTTGCGACGATACGAAACTGTCGCAAAAAATAGAAATTTTATTATTTTTTAATACTTTTTGCTACGGCATTACACTGTCGCAAAAAATAAAAATTTTCATATTTTTAATACTTTTTGCGACGGCACCACACCGTCGCAAAAACGGTGTTTTTTGCTGTTGCAAAAAAAGACTATTAGTGACGGTATTTTTTGCCGTCTCAAATAGCATTTTTAGCGATGGTAAAATAGTGTCGTCGCAAAAAAGTCAAGAAATTTCAAACATTATTAGCGACTATACAGTGCCGTCACAAAAGGCAAAAATGCCATCACAAAAACTTGCCGTCGCAAAAACTCTTTTGCAACCCCTCCATTTGTGACCCCCTCTTACCGTCGCAAAAAGTCATTTTGCCGTGGCAAAAAGTTTTTGCGACAGCATTAGGAGTATTAGCGACGGCATTTTACCGTCGCAAAAAGTCAATTTTTTTGTAGTGAGGTCTCGTTTAGAAAGTTGTTTATTTTAATAGATTAAAATTTTTGTATTTAAAAGGATGGTTAAATTTTTTTTGTAATTGAATGTGATATTTGTGAGAGAAAAAAGTAAAATGATTATTAATTTGATATGTCCTTTTGTCTTATTCACTATTTTAGTCTATTTTTATCTTTTTGTGAATTTTAAACACCCCTCCCCCCCCAAAAAAAAAAAGAAAAAAGAAAAGAAGATAAAATCCACTTTCCAAACTGGACCAAAGTTGATTGAAACCCGGCATAAAGTGTGAATCATATGTATTTTATTTTATTATATGTTCTGCATTTTTGTGATAAAATTACATAATTTTTTGATACTATTATGACAATTTATTATTTAAAAATGATTTTTTTTTTGTAATATTACTCATTTTATAGTTAAAAAATGTTTTGATGGATGTATAATATTTCCATAAAAGTAAATAACATTATCACAAAATACGTAATTTCAATCAAAATTATTGTATTTTATTAAAAAATTCTGTAATGTTGATGAGATAAATACGGAACATAGACTAGGAAAATAATAAATAAATAAAATACATACACACCTTTTTTTTTAAATACTACATCAAAATACACACACAAAATTTGGCAATAAATTTCCGTTTGTTTTGAAATAAAATATTTTTCATTTTTGTTGTTTGGTTAAACAAAAAGTAAGTAAATTTTTTTAAAAGAAAATATTATTGCATTATTTTTTAAAAAATGACTTACTTTTAAAATTTTTGTAAGTCAATTTTTACAAAGTTGACTCTCACTTACTACTTTTTCAACACATTTAACGTTTTCAAATAAATATCTTAACTCACTAAAAAGTCATAAATGATACTTTATTGAATCGGAAATTTTCTTTTAGGCAATAAAATACTTTTGTTTCAATTATCAACTAAACGTTAAAAAATAAAAATAAAAATATTTTTTTCTATATAAAATCAATTTATAAAAAATATTCTTTTACATAAAAATATTTTATGTCGAAACCAACTAACCTAATTGTAAAATTCTACATGTCATAGTTAAAAATAGTGTATAATTTGTTCGTATTTTTTCATAATAATATATGAAAAATATATAAAATAAATTAAATAGAAATGACAAAATATTTTTTTTAATTTTTTATTAAAAGGATTAAATACAGAATAAATGGCACAACTAAAAATACAGAAATAAATTAGATTACATTACTAATAGAACAAATTATTAACATGAATAACTAAATATTAGAATTCATCTTTGTAAACTAAATATTTAAAAATTTAAGAACAAATGATAAGAAAAAAAGCAAACAAAAACTTGCACTAGACAGTTTCCTTAAAACAAATTCATCGCCTCCTGATGGATTCTGCAGGTACGCCGGCGTTTGTCTAGTAGGATACGACGGTCGAAATAAGCTAATACAGAAGCACCTTCTGAATAGTTTTGGCAAACTTGACAATGGATGTACTTTCTCTAACAAGAACCAAAGAAGAGGCTAACAAAAGAAAATAAGAAAAATTTTCTTTGGTGTAAAAAATCATCTCCGACTTTTTATCTCAAAACACTATCTCATTTTTCATCACAAAACCTCTCTAGAACAACCGACTAAGGCCTCATTTGGCAAATGACATTTTTAGTCAAAAAGTTATTAAAAAAAATAAAAAAATTAACAATATATACCAAAAAGTCAAAGATTCTATTTTCTTTCTACTTTTTGCATATTTTTTCATAAAAAATCAAAAATTTATTCCAAACATGCTAGTTTTTTTTACTTCATATTTTAGCAAAAAAATCAAAAAAATTACTAAAAAAACATGTTCCCAAACAAAGCCTAAGTTGAAGGAGAAAAATTTATACTAGTAAGAGAGAGCCTTAGCTATGAAGGCTAATATTAATGGGATTATCAAATATCATCAACTCTAGTCATTAAAGCTAGAGTTACAAAGATTCAAAACTCCAAAACTATTATATAAATCATAATATGTATATAATGTGTAAGTTTTGAGAATTAAATTAGATGAGTTGCAAAATGGATGTAGGTGTTGGGTCATAACCAAATCCGAGCCTAATCTCAAACTTATGCACAAAAGTAAGCCCAGCACAGCTCAAGACTAGATTCAAGTCCAAGTCTAAGACCAAACTCAGCATATGCACAAGTACAAGTCTAGGCACAGTCCAAATCGAGATTAAGTTCAAATCTAAACACAACTTTACTGATACCCACTTTATGAAACAATTCTCATTCATGACTCAATAGTTTCGACTTATTATTTTTATATTGCAATCTTTTTATTTAAGAGAGAACAAAATCACTTACATACATCTCAATCGACGGTTGAATGCCATTTTATTTTCAAATTAAAATTGTCGAAAATCATTATTTTTCAACATAGTTGTTAATAAATATATATTTCATGTAGTTTGTAATTTAAAATTTTAAATATGTAGCTTTACAAAAATTTCTAAATCTCCCCCACGGCCAACTTAAGTCACATAATTGTTACTACTATCTGACAAAAGTTTGTTTGTTTGTTTTGAAATGAGGTAAGCGATGACACAAAGCAGCCAAACGAATAATTATTTTGCCGTTTAGAAATTGTATGTCGCTAGTGTATTCAATTAATAATAGGAGATTTGGTCAAAATATTATCCTAATATAATAAAATTTTAATATATTAAAAATAAACATAAAAAATTTTCTTGAAAAATTTAACATATATCATTATTATCAAAATATTAAATTTTAAAATAATATCGTTTGGTTTGATTTTCTGAAAAAAATTTGGGAAATTTTCTCTACAAATAAGTTTTCAAAAATAACCAAACCAAACAAATTTTCCCAAAAAAATTTCCCAAAACTTGTAAACCAAACAAGTTTTCCAAACAAATCTCTCTCTCACACACATCAAATCAATCACTTTTTCCAAAACTATCTCAAAATAATTTTCCAAAACATCTTTTAAAAAAAACCAAACCAAACATGTTTTCGTACTTTTTATCTCTAAAACACATCTCTCAAACACAAACCAAACATACCCATAATTTTTAATCTAGATGTTGATTTTTTTTATAAAATTAATATTTTTAAAATTCTCTCATTAAGATCTATTAAATAAGATTCATGTTAACTATAAAAAAATTTTAAAAAGAAAATTATTACCATCAAAATTAATATAAACAATAACATGTTACTTTGTCTTTTAGTAACATGTTACTCTAATTTACAGTAACATATTACTGGTAATATTATCTAAGAAAAAAAATATCTTATTTTATCTTTATTTAATTATGTACCTGTTTTTTTGAGAATTTTGAAACAAAATAAATAAGGATATCATTTTCCCTAAACAAAAGTCCAACAAAAAAGTTTTAACTAAATTTATTAATAATAGAGAGTCTAATAATTACATAACGCTAAAAGTAAGAAAATTATGAATAAATGATATAATTTCATTGCACGCACACATTTTTCATGTAATAATTTCGGCACCATATAACCTATCAGAGGCATTCTTCTTGTCTGCTTCCTTCCCTATCCTACTTTCCTCGGCAACCACTACTGGTCACTCATCGACTTGTCCTACCTTCACAAAAGGAAGGTTGGATGCATGCATTTCTTTCTGTGATTTTTTTATACCAAAAAAAAAAAAATTAGACTTCATGTTTTGTGGAAATATTTTTGATCATTTAGACTGAATTATAATCTCTCCTTCATAAAATCTTCCATGGTTCGAAAGCAGGTTTGTTTTGCTCGCCCATGAGATCTTTCATTAAATCTTCCATGTTTGAAAGTAGGTTTGTTTGGCAACCACTACTGGCCACTCATCGACTTGTCCTACCTTCACAAAAGGAAGGTTGGATGCATGCATTTCTTTCTGTGATTTTTTTATACCAAAAAAAAAAAAAATTAGACTTCATGTTTTGTGGAAATATTTTTGATCATTTAGACTGAATTATAATCTCTCCTTCATAAAATCTTCCATGGTTCGAAAGCAGGTTTGTTTTGCTCGCCCATGAGATCTTTCATTAAATCTTCCATGTTTGAAAGTAGGTTTGTTTTGCTCGTCCATGAGATCTTTTATTTTTATTGTTTTTACTAGTCATCTCTTTGAAGTAGGTGAATGTAAAATGGTTTTTTTTAGGATAAATTACAAATGCACCCTTGATTTGTTAATAAATCATCAAGTCAATTAATAATTTTTATTGATGTTAAAACTATGTTTCAATTAATAATTTAGGTAATTTTATTATTGTACATGAGAACAATTATGAATTTCATTTTTTTAATTAA